CGAATTACTATAATACTGCTTCATAGATATTCATATATATTTGATATTGAGATACTTTTATATGTGTGTTTTGTCAGATAATACTTGCCACGATGCTGATTGCTGAAAAAAATTCTTAAAAAAAAACATTTTTAGCATATTACTTACTCTGACCAACTGATAAGGATTATAAAGTTACTCATCCCATCCCTTATACTTGTTTCCAAGCATTACAGCTTCCACAAAAGCTCTGCTATCAGTTAACTTTATGGAGATGAACTGGCAACTTGTTTAGGACCCTCTGAGAATACCATAAAAAGTGTATTTCATACATTTAGCAAGAAAACGAGGCAAATCACTCTGACTGTAACATCAGCCCCCGCCGAGCAAAGCTCATTTGGCCAACATATTGGGCCTCCTACCCCAGAACCCCCAAGAACGCCTCTGCGCCGTCCACACAGACGGACAGAGAGACAGCTTCCAGGCAATGACAAGTGCACACACGCGCTGAATGGGCTATAGAAAATGCCCGTGCTATACTAGATAGCTGCTTTGCTTACTTTATTATTATGTATATTTTAATTTTGATTAGAATTTATTGCTCCATTTTCGGACGAGCGAGAGCGGTCTCCGGCGGCTCGCATTACCCAACTGAAACTCAAAGCCAAACGCTGCCTGTATCTGTCCGTATCCGTATCTATGAGATGCGATGCGATGAGATGGGATGGAATGGGATGAATCCAAGACCTGTGCCCGCCCACAACGATGCAGCCCAGTCAGCTGCTGCTGCTGTCCGCTCCCGCAAAACCGTGAAATCGGATTCACAAGGTGGTCGGGACGGTGGAAGGCGAAGGCAGATGTACAGGCTTATGCTTTCCATTGCTCTACTAAATTAAACGTGGAATAACAATTGGTTTTTTCCGGGGCATTTCATTCAATGCTGCCCGCCGAGAGATGCCAGTGACTTTCCTTCATCGTTGTCGTTGTCGTCGTCGTCGTCTAAGGCTTTTCTCATCTTTTTAACTACTATATGAGATGGATGGCCGGTCGCTTCTTTACAATGGGAATGGCGCAAATTAGACGATATGCTCGTAAATCTATTGTCATAAACGCCTACGAGGAGCGACGAACAAATTGCTTAGAATGGCATCATAGACTAACTAGAGCCGGACTCTGACTTTGGGTACGCAGCAAGTTTACACGATGCCTTATCGCGACTTGAGCTCGGAGATTTCATTGTTAAATCCATAAAACCTCGAACAACCTGCCGCCATTCGGATTGCATATTGCATATAAGTCCTATGACCAATAAAACCCCATTTTCGTTAGTGAAAATATCCGTGTGTTTATACCTTTTTCAGGAATATACAAATACACGATGAGCTCCTCGCACGACCATTGTCAAGACGTGGCCATTCATGGCAAGGAGAGAACCCCTGCGGGCTAAAGGAAATGCAGGGCGGAACACGGGGGTCACACATTTTAATCAGTGCTCAAGTACAACAGAGCATTGTCGGCTTTATGGCTCATTCGCTGGTACATCGGGGCACTCGTGATGGCAGTGATTATGCTGCACTCGATCTCGGACTTTCTGTCGCCGTCTCTGATTTCGTGTCGCCGCTCTGGCCCAGGGCCCAGGTCATGAACGCCATTATGCAACCGAAGCGAGGTCCGCCGCCCACTTTCTGGTCCACTCCCCCTCGGGGGATTGCACTTGCCAATGGCAATTAGCGGGCTGGCCAAAGTTTTAGCTTCTGGCTGCCAAACCAACTTGCACGCTCATCCTCTTTTCAAATGGAAAAGTGCGAATGCAACTCCCACCAACTAAAGTGGAGATTCCAAAACAGAAACCATGGAAAGTCACCTAGCAGAAAGGATATTCTGAATGGCTTAAAGGTTTTTTAACAAGTTTATATTATAGACTACGCTTTTAATAATAAATATTTCAGAAAAAGGATAATCGTTTTAGTATATATATCATTTTCAAGAAGTGCTTAAAAAGCTCTTACAATATAAGATAAATCGGTTCCAAGATGTTCTTCTGTCGATTTGGATTTGGGGAAACCTAGCGCTCTCTGGCTTGATCTAGATTAGAATTGTGCCTCGAGCTGCGGCAGTGGCTTGTTGACTTTGACACCATGCAAATTGGTAGAGTCATCAGCGCCGCTCCGCTTATTGATTTTGCCTAAAAGTCATAACTGCCAGGGGAACAGACCCTTTCTGTTCTGGCCAAGACAAGCCACCCGCCGCTCTAGGCCGCAGCCATAATTTGCATATTGATTTTTCAGCATGCTGGCACTCGGCGTTTCCCAGGCCAGGGGGCGACACGTGGCGGGAGCGTGTCCGTGACAGGTGTAACACCCAAATTGAGCTGTTCCAGCCAGGGACCGTAAATAATTATTATGAGTTTAAAAAAATTGAAGCCCAAAACAGTCTCCAAAAAAATTGGAAAAAATTGTCATAAGTTAAATTTTCATGGCGAATTCAAAAACAAGATAAATGTTTTTTTCAATTTTTGTATAAAAATTACGCAATAACTTTTATTTTCAATTTTTATTATATAAATTGAAAAATAAGAATTATTCGATAACTTTTATTTTAAAAATTGAAAATAAAGATTGAATCTATATATCTTTTGATCCGTAGAAGCCAGATCCAATATATATGTATATATATGATCTACACATCAATACCTTTCAGATGGTATACAATAAATATGTATATATATATATATATATATATTGGATCTGGCTTCTACGGATCAAAAGATATATAGATTCAATCTTTATTTTCAATTTTTAAAATAAAAGTTATCGAATAATTTTTATTTTTCAATTTGTATAATAAAAATTGAAAATAAAAGTTATTGCGTAATTTTTATATAAAAATTGTGAAATAACTTTTATTTGGTAATTTTTTGCTTTTTTAATTATAACCGTTACAGTCCCTGGTTCCAGCGAATATCTCGGATTGACTGATCGATGATGGCCAACTCGATATATAGAACGCCGTCTGAATGCGCCAGTCTGACCGATGGGGCAACCGCACAGGTTTGCCCGAGGAAGCCCTCGTCAGTTGACCATTTGTCAGCTGAACTCATCGGTCGAGCTGTGACGTTATTCCCATAAGGAAGCGGCACGAGTTGATTCACACATACATAGTATATAAATATGTATCTATAGGTCACCGCTACGATATCTGAAAAGTCCTATAACTTTATCTACATATGTATCTCAACTGCCATTCCGGTTGCCAAGTGTTTTTTGACGTGTCATTACATAACTTTGTTTTAGGCCAAAACTCTTGGGGGCGCACAACTGGCTAGCACGGTCACTTAACTCGACATTTGTTTATTTATTTTGGCCCCAGCCCCCTGGCCCTGTTGATGACCCACAAATTGAGTCAGAGTTCATCTGGCCAAGACACTCCTTTGGCGGATATCACATGCGATTGGATAAGTTGATAAAACGGGCACGATTCCGGTCTGAAATCTGATGGGCCAAGCGGATCGATAGGGGAGCCACCCCTCGGCTCTGAATCAAATAGACAGAAACTTTTTCCGCTGCCTTTTTGCTGGCACGATGTCTTTTATTGATTTTCCGTTGGTATTTTCTGCACAGAGCAAAAATACACCCAAATTACACCTTACAATTGGCAATTGGCCATAAAAATTAAACATTTTATGACTTGAAGAATTAATACATATATAATTATATAATTAAAGGATTTCTGAAATAAAGTATTAGACGTTAATATTCGGAAATTGTATTAAATCGTGCAGTGACTTGAATTCTTCTGAAACTAAGCATAATATTAGCCCATCTTCGATATTTTAGTGACAAATATCGATTATTAATCTTAACATTTAGATATCAAAATTCTCACCATCTACCAAGAAGTATATTAGAAATGCAACTAAAATTCTACAAAAAAAGGTTTCCCGTATTTAAATCAGAAAAACCATATGGTACCGATTTTATATTTGAAAGTATAATTCAATATATTTTTCAAGTGCATTACTCGTTGGCCAAGTGCGTATACATGTGAGTTTGCCTTTTAACTGTGTTGGCGACATTACGTGTAATTAAACTCGAGTTACTTGAGCCCCAAAATAGACTCAAGGTCCGAATGGAAAATTGCTCGAGTCCTTAAACCGGCAGTGGTGTCATTTCAGACCCCCAACCCCCAGCCCAAGTTCTTGGATGTGTTAAGTAAGCAGGGGAAGTGTATTCAGATATACTCTGGATTCTGGGCGCTTCGCTTATTATTAAATATGGAACTGTGCTTCTGTTAACGAGCCACATTGATTTACTGCTACTTTGGGGAGGTTTTCCACTTGGCCCCGGGATTGTCCATCCGACTGGATGTTGAATCTGAGTCTGAATAATTGAGGGGGTTGCGGATTGGGGCTTGCTGAAGTGACGTCATGCGAGGGCTCGATAAGGCGACATTCCCAAATGCCAAAGCTGTCTTGGCGTGCCCTTTTTATCAAACCCAACTCGAACTCGAACGCTTTGTTTTCGTTATACAATTTATGTAGATTTTTCGCTCCCCTTCGGCACGCTCTTTCTCTTTGTCTCTCTCTGTCTCGTTGGCTCCACAAAAGCCGCCACCCCCTCACCGCCTGCCGCGCTCCAACTGACATACATTCCGCTGCTCTGAGCTGCGCAGCCAACCCCTGAGCTGTTCTCTCGCCCACAGCCCCCGCTCGCACTGCTCCAGTTTCGAAGAGCTCTCCGCCCTCTCCGGGGGCTTCGCCTCTACCCTGCCACCCATTGCCTGCCTCACTTGTCACACTGCCATAGATTTTTCGGCTGGAAAGCTCTCAGCAACTGTGCACTTTTCACAGGCGGCTGAGCGGCGGTGGAGACGAACAGGCAGCGGAGGGGGCCGTACAGGAGAGCGGGTGGAACATCTGCTGGCGAAAGCTCTCGCCGCGCCGCAGCGCCGCGCCGACGTCGACAGAACGTTCTATCCGAGAAAGCTTAACCACTCGCGGCGCGCCGAAAAGTTTCAGTCGAACGTCGAAACCGAACTGGGAAGGTCCAACTGTAGCAGCAGCTCTCGTCTCTTTGTCGGGTGGTACAGTACAGCTCTGCTCCCCGCCTGCCCGCCCGCCCGCTCCCCGGCGCTGGTGTGTGCTCCGCTGCTCTGCTTACACAATAACTGTGCATCGATTGAGTCCAGCGAGAAGAGGAAGCAGCAGGACTAACTCGAACGCCGTTCGACGGAAGGAAGGAACACATAATAGCCTAGCCGTAGCAAAGCGACCGTGTGTGATCAGTATTCGTTGTCTCGTTCCAACGCGATTCGGTTCTAGTGCTGAAAACAAGTTCAATACAGCTGCTAACGGGGTAGTTTTCTGCGAAAGCCCCCAAAACAGAATTCGCAACGCCAAGCGCAAAAATTGTGTAATAGCCCCCGAACGTGTAAAAGGTAGAAAAAAGCAACAAAAAAAAAAAGTACATAAAAAAACCAAGAACTTTCCATGTCCGCTCAACTGCAGCGCCCACCGACCCACCGCCCGCCCCACTAGGGGCGTTGAGAAAACGGCAACGTCCTTGTACGAAATCGATTTTTCCAAAACTTCATGCCTGGCGTAATGGATATATACACTTGTATTTGTGACCAGAAAAAAGAGAGAGAGCGGGGATCGAAAAGAAACGAACATTGTGTGTGCTTGGGACGTTTTTTCGAATTGAAAAATTGGCAAAAGTGAAGAAAAATGCATTTTCGACAATTTTGACAACACTTTGCCGCAGTGTAAGAGTGATAGTGCTTTTGTGTGCGAGTGTGTGCCACTGAGATTTTCGTCTGCAAAAATAATGTTTTTCCGTCCTTTTGATTTGGCATTCTATTTGGCGTTCATGTCCGTCTCTTTATCCGTCCGCTTCCTCCGCGTCTCTTTCATTTCGCTATCCTCCCGCTCTGTGCCGTTCCGTTCTGTCCGTCTGACGTACTTTTGTGGCAATGAAATCGTTTAGATTCAATTGACGCGATTTACATTTTGGAATGGCAGTAATTTCCTGGCCACCCCACACGAATGAGTGGGTATGGATTTGGCCCCCCGCTTGGCGATTTCATAATTCCACAGCACAGAGTGCCGCCAGAGTGGCAGGCAAGAAAAGAGGGGCAAAGAGCAGGAGCGGGAAAAAGTCTTGGAAAAGTTCGAGCACTTTTCCTGGCCACTCTTCGAACTTGCGCCTCTAACGGTATGTCTCTCGCGCTGCGCTGTTTACCGTCGAGCTGGCGCTTTCTCTTTGGCGTCCGCTCTCTCTCTAGCTCTCACTCTCCCGCTCTCTCTGGTTTTACCATGTGCCGTCGTTACTCGGTATCCTGGAAACTGCAGCCAGCCTGCATTTCCACACTTCCATGAATTTCCACTTTCCCGTGACTCCGTGCCCTTCCAGCGGTCCACTTGCTGCTCCAACCGCCTCGTCCTTCCAGCGCCCGCGTATCGTGCGGGTTGTTGCATAAGCCCGTACTATTTTAACCGACTTCTTTTTCTTTTCCTTTACTTTTTTGCATCTATTTTCAGTTTATTTGTTTTATCTTATTTTATTCTGTTGTTACTTGTTCATCGTGTTTTATATTTGCACACGCCGTCGTCGTTTGCTTTTTCGTTTATTCATCGTTTCACTGTCTCGCCTCTAATAAGTTTAAACAAGAGTCCACAGACATTATGAGTGCTCAGGTGGGTAATCAAAGCTGACCAGCTGAGGAACACCTCACCCTATTTACGTATTTACCTCAATCATTCATAATTTACACCGACTGCATCGGGCATGATTAGTTTAAGCCGCATTATCATTTTAAGTTCATCTAATCCCGAGTCAGGGTTGCATAACGTAGAGTAACTAGGACCGCCCGTTGGTTTCTTTATGGGAGAACTCCGTTGACAAAGTGTGCCGTAAGGACAGAAGAACTGCCCTCTAGAGGAGGCTGTGGCTCTTCAAACAGAGCATGCAAAACGTGCGAAAATTAAGCAGATAATTAGCGGGGAATTGTTAATAATGTTTAAATTGAACGCTTCGGGAACAGAGATCATTAGCGAGTCAAGCTCGCCGGATTCTAGAGGCGGAGCGATATCTGTGTATCTGGGGTTCACAAAAACAAGTCGAGTTCACAGATGGATAGATACGGCCAGGGAGAAAATGCATCTCGATACCAGGCACGATCTGTTATCATGCACCAAAACTGGTTTCTCATTGGAATTTTTTTTATTTTGGCTGCTCGGAAAAAATGAGCCTAGACAAATAGTTTCGATTTCCGAGTGGAATGTATGATTGGACATCTCCCCCTTGCAATGGTCCGAACACTGAAAAACTTGTTATTAATTAGAAAAACCAAAAAAAAAGTTTACATTTAATATTTCAAATAGTAATAAATCTTCAAAAATGGGTTGAATAAAGCTGAACTTCTAGAAAGCTCCTTTAATCTTTAAAAACCTAAAATTCTGTCATGGTTAAAGTTTTATCCAAGTTTTATAATACTTGTAAGTAAGGTTTTTTGTTCTGAAAATTTTCCTTTGTCTACCTGTAAGCTTGAGCCGCTCAAATCTGGTTTCAAACTGGTTCAAACTGAACTTGCACTCACCTGCCGGCTTATGCACCTTACCTTCGAGCGAAAGCAATGTGGCTGGCGGTGACAATTGTTCGTTTTCGGCTACGCCCGCAGCTTTACACGTTTCCCAGATACTTTTGCATTGATTGAACAATTAGCGCGTCAATTCTGTGCGCCGCTCTTCCTCCTCAGCGTCGTCGGGTTGTTGTAAATTGATATTCAAGTTCAAATGCCAAATGGTTTGCAGCGAAATGTGCGCGAACCGTTTTAGCGGTGGGGAAAAGCAGCTGGAGCGCAGCCACAGATACATTTGTATCTGTTTGCCTAATTGGCTCGCCAGAAGCTAGTATCTGGCAGTTCGCAGTTCGCTGTTTGCCGTTTGCTATTTTCCATTTCCATTCGCGGACTTATGTAAGCTTTTCTGTGCTGTGGCCGGCCAGCAATCCATTGTCGCATTTTGATTTATATATATCGCCTCGATCTCCATCCTGGACCCCAGACCCAGACCCGTACCCTTGTTTCCACATGCTGTGTGCCACTTGGCATTGTTTCGGATCAATTGAAGCATGAAAAGCGCGATTAAGTTGAATTAATTTGTATAGGAAAATCAAAATTAGCGCCATTGTGGGAAAGCCACCCGCTTTTCCGCTTTCAGCCGACAAAGTCACGGTTAACAATTGTTTGCACTATCAGAGGCAGGTTTAGCAATTAAGCTTAAGTTACGCTAAGCGGACTTTAACTAATTTTAATATCTTAACTCTATTTAAACCTCATCGAACGCCTCCAGATTGTCTAGCACTTGAGGGAGAATCTTAAAGATAGAGCGACTACAGGGACGCAGAGCTAAGAGATACGAAAAGCACATCGATAGTCGTTTGAACACTCGCCACAGTGCGTAAGCCAAAAAGTAGAGAACCTTTCGGTACCCATTAGCCCCTCGGGCACGATTCTCGATCTATTTCATGCTGGCGTCGTGTCCCCAATTGAACCGAAAGCCCGAAGAGCAAAAGCACATACATATATACACGTAATATATAATGAAAATAAATAAATCTTGAAACGCCAGGCCGTGAAACGCAAAGCCAAACAAAGCGTAAGATTCTCGAATAAAATCGAATATAGCCGTAAGTTGGCTGCCATGTGAGCACGACAGGTTTTCCCCTCGCCCACAAGTTTATTAGCGTACACACATATACATAGGTACATAATTTCTCTCGGGTCTTGTGTATTTTTAATTAATTTGATTTGATTTCTTTCGGCTACTCGGTTTTGCACGGCCAAACAGAGCAAAGTCTGGTGTTTATATTGCATATCTTTTGAGTTGCCTTTCGCTGACGCTGACGCTGACGGGTACGCTCTCCACTGGCATGTTTTGTTTGTTTTTTAAATAATAATAATAATGAGCCGATGAAGCGCACCATTAGTGAGTCAGAACGCATTGCAGATAACGCTCCCCGATCCGAGACGAGGTCGAATCTTTGCTACTGCGGGCTGGAAAGCCCTCCTAATGTAGTTCTATGTATATCGCATGATTCATTGTCCTTAGCCAGCCTTGAAAACTTTTCCCATATCCCATTTGTGCTGAATCATCAAAACAATCAAGTGTTGCTAGGCAATGGGTAACCGCAAACCCTCAAAGCGTCCGTAGTTCCAGTAGACTATTTTTGTTATGTTACATTCATAGTTATGTCTCTCATAAACCTACATATATACTTTGAATACATTTATAATTACTTTACGCATCCAAACATATTATATTTTCGATTTATCATACGTATATTTTTATATTTTAGTTATTCACCTCCCTGATAAAGTGTTAAATGGTGTAAGAGACGGTTATTAACATGTTTAAAAAATAATATTTAGCATTCATTCGAAGCTGTTCTAAACAAATTAATTATTATTCTACCATTTATCACTTTATCGGAGTTGTTTTGTATCTTAGTCATATAGTGTACGTCTTGCATTTTTTGTATGCTCGCCTTTCGTTTTGTTTCGATTTTTGATTTGTATTTCTTCCCGTTTTCGTTCGCTTGTTCGCCCATCATCGACATCATCAATCAAACACCACCCTCCAACCCACCCGATATCGAAACCGAATCCAAACCCTCTGTGCGCGTAGCATGGGAGAGCGGACTCCTATCGAGTCGCCACGGTTATAGCCACCGATGACGACAATCGCACAGCCGATGGTCACTACAAGGTAAATCGAATTTTCCTCACTCACACTCACACATGTGTATCTATGTATATATGTATCTCCCATTCGCCCTATTTATGTCTTTCACTTTTCACAGTCCGCCTTCCTTTCGATTTTATGCGCCTTACTAACCCATTCCCATTCCCGTTCCCATCGATTTCCCTTTTCCCTGTCTCTAATTGCACTTATTATTTATTATATTTCTTGTGTGTTATTTGGGCATGCATCCAAAATGGCATTTGCCGAGTGCGGTTGACATTTAGAGAGAGTCGCCGAAATGTTTACAGGAGATATAAATAGCTTTTCGATATGTACACATAACCGTGGCCAATAATAATGCCATAAATATGGCAATTTCCGATTTTCTCGAAATAAATTTTCCATCCTCTAAAGCCACTCGAACATACTTAATCTTTTATATGAAATGTTTTCCTTATTTTGAATTAATACAAACAGATTTTTAGCCGGCTTTCCAAGAATTTCCAAATGACCAGTAAAAAGTACTTTATTTTGTTTGCTATTTTTTTGTTTTTTTGTTTCGCCTTGATTGCATGGCAACCCCAACAGTGACGTCAGAGAGCCAAAAGGCATTGCGCGTGCTTCTTAAAAAAATAAAAAGAAATACACTTATAGCCACTGTTAAAGATAGAATGCCAGACACTAGACAGCTGCTTAGTCTATATATAATATAATATATCTGAATCCATTTTATTTTATTTCGGTGTTTTGGCCAATTCGAAGGCTTCCGAGGTCAGCCAGTGCATAGTAAATATGTATACATTTTTAGCGGCCGCCATGTAGCAAAAGTTAATTTTCATTCACTCTTTTTTCCGCTAGTTTTTCCTTTGAATTTCCTTTTGTTTTGTATATCCACGTAATATATATGAATGCTTGTATAATTGCCTGTCGCTTTGTGTTTTCTGCACCTCAATTCATTTACGTGCTCTTCTCGTTACGATCGGAGAGCGTAATTTAGCGCGCATTTTGCATGCCTTAGATTATCGGAGCTATAGAGCGATCGGTCGTTTCGAATATTCTCACGCTCGAGCTCATTTCGGAATGGGCTCGACCCCGAGTAGCACCAAGTATTAATTAGTACTGGGTAAGTGCCCTCCTGGGCTCAGGTAATATCTAATCTATCCCTAACTCTACATGGTAAATGGTGTACTGGGACTCTATATCTTCCCCTATCTCTTCACTCCTTAACAAACTCCAACACTCGTGGTATAATTGAACACTCTTCTGCGTCTAATCCGGGTCTTCTACCAAGGCATGAAGTAAATCGAAACTCGTGTCGGCTTTTGGGTCTATCGCTGCTGCTGCTGTTGTGCACCCAAAGACTTCCCCCACTAATGTATTTCCCTTTGAATTGAACAGTCAAGACGCAAGATGCCGGCCAAAGCAGCTAAGAAAGAGAATTTGGATGATCTCAAACAGGAGTTGGATATCGACCATCATAAAATCTCTCCTGAGGAATTGTATCAGCGCTTTCAGACACATCCCGAGAATGTGAGTAGACACCTAGCCTTGTGCTTGACATAATACGAACTAAGACCTATGATCGATCTCCTGCACAGGGTCTAAGTCACGCCAAGGCCAAGGAGAACTTGGAGCGCGATGGTCCCAATGCGCTGACGCCACCAAAGCAGACGCCCGAGTGGGTGAAGTTCTGTAAGAATCTGTTCGGTGGCTTCGCCATGTTGCTGTGGATCGGTGCTATTCTCTGCTTCGTGGCCTATTCGATCCAGGCCAGCACCAGCGAGGAGCCGGCCGACGATAATTTGTATCTGGGTATTGTACTTTCCGCTGTCGTCATTGTGACGGGCATTTTCTCATACTATCAGGTGGGTTTCCCTTGAAGATGCTCCCTTGAAGGGTTTGCTTACTAACAGCGGTGTGCTCTTCTGTTCTGCAGGAATCGAAAAGTTCAAAGATCATGGAATCGTTCAAGAACATGGTACCCCAGTTCGCCACCGTCATCCGCGAGGGCGAGAAACTCACGCTGCGCGCTGAGGATCTCGTCCTGGGCGATGTCGTTGAGGTGAAGTTCGGCGACCGTATCCCCGCTGATATCCGCATTATCGAGGCGCGCACCTTCAAGGTGGACAACTCGTCGCTGACCGGCGAGTCGGAGCCGCAGTCCCGCGGCGCCGAGTTCACCCATGAGAATCCTCTGGAGACCAAGAATCTGGCCTTCTTCTCCACCAACGCCGTCGAGGGCACTGCCAAGGGCGTGGTCATCAGCTGTGGCGACCACACCGTCATGGGTCGCATTGCTGGCCTCGCCTCCGGTCTGGACACCGGCGAGACGCCCATTGCCAAGGAGATTCACCATTTCATCCATCTGATTACCGGCGTGGCCGTGTTCCTGGGCGTCACCTTCTTCGTGATTGCCTTCATTCTGGGCTACCACTGGCTGGACGCCGTCATCTTCCTGATCGGCATCATCGTCGCCAACGTGCCCGAGGGCCTGCTGGCCACTGTCACCGTGTGCCTGACCCTCACCGCCAAGCGCATGGCATCCAAGAACTGCCTGGTGAAGAATCTGGAGGCCGTGGAAACCCTTGGCTCCACCTCGACCATCTGCTCCGATAAGACCGGCACCCTCACCCAGAACCGCATGACGGTTGCTCACATGTGGTTCGACAACCAAATCATCGAGGCCGACACCACCGAGGATCAGTCGGGTGTTCAATACGATAGAACCAGCCCTGGATTCAAGGCGCTCTCTCGCATTGCCACTCTCTGTAACCGTGCCGAGTTCAAGGGCGGCCAAGATGGTGTGCCCATTCTCAAGAAGGAGGTCAGCGGAGATGCCTCCGAGGCAGCTCTGCTCAAGTGCATGGAACTGGCCCTGGGCGACGTTATGAATATTCGCAAGCGCAACCGCAAGATCGCTGAGGTGCCATTCAACTCCACCAACAAATACCAGGTGTCCATCCACGAGACCGAGGACTCAAACGACCCCCGCTTCCTGCTTGTCATGAAGGGCGCTCCCGAGCGTATCCTGGAGCGCTGCTCCACCATCTTTATTAACGGCAAGGAAAAGGTCCTGGACGAGGAAATGAAGGAGGCGTTCAACAACGCCTACATGGAACTCGGAGGACTGGGTGAGCGTGTGCTCGGCTTCTGCGACTTAATGCTGCCCTCCGACAAGTATCCCTCCGGCTTTAAGTTCAACACCGACGACATCAACTTCCCCATCGATAACCTGCGCTTCGTCGGCCTCATGTCCATGATTGATCCTCCCCGTGCCGCCGTGCCCGATGCTGTGGCCAAGTGCCGCTCGGCCGGTATCAAGGTCATCATGGTTACCGGCGATCACCCGATCACTGCCAAGGCCATTGCCAAGTCCGTCGGCATCATCTCCGAGGGCAACGAGACCGTCGAGGACATTGCCCAGCGCCTGAACATCCCCATCTCCGAGGTGAATCCCCGTGAGGCCAAGGCCGCCGTCGTCCACGGCGCCGAGCTGCGTGATGTGTCCAGCGATCAGCTGGATGAGATCCTGCGTTACCACACCGAGATCGTCTTTGCCCGTACCTCGCCCCAGCAGAAGCTGATCATTGTCGAGGGCTGCCAGCGCATGGGCGCTATTGTGGCCGTGACTGGTGATGGTGTCAACGACTCTCCGGCTCTGAAGAAGGCTGATATTGGTGTTGCCATGGGTATCGCCGGCTCTGATGTGTCTAAGCAGGTAAGACAGCTAACAGTTCCGATAATTCTGATCCTGTACAAATATCACAAAAATTGGTCATCAATTAGGAACATTATTTTGACATCAACTTTGGATTAACATTTTTATGTATTAATAACCCAAGATATTATTTAAATATTTTTTACGCCCCTTTAATCGAAGTGTGTACCTTAGAAAGGATGTATCTGTGGGACTTACAAAAAGTATTTTAAAATGCGGATTTTTCTTTGTGTATCATCTTAACTCATGTTTTTTGGTTTCTGTGACAATCTCGTAGTAAGTGAGTCGAGAAACACTTATAAGGATGGCGCAATGTGGAGCTGATATTGTCACAAATCTACTGTGAATGTGTAATCTAACCTTTCGCTCCTGTGCAGGCTGCTGACATGATTCTGTTGGACGACAACTTCGCCTCCATTGTGACTGGTGTGGAGGAGGGTCGCCTGATCTTCGATAACCTGAAGAAGTCCATTGCTTACACCCTGACCTCCAACATTCCCGAAATCTCGCCCTTCCTGGCCTTCATCCTCTGCGACATACCACTGCCACTGGGAACCGTGACGATTCTGTGCATCGATCTGGGAACCGACATGGTAAGTTTCGCCCGCCGCCCCAAGCCCAGTCCAAGCTGAAGAATGTTATGTTAACGTTGCGATTAAGTCAAACTCGAGCTCTCGAGCAAGTTAAATGTAAAGTTGTAGCCCAACCGAATCGCGGTTAATTACTGTTAAGAACTAGTCTCTAACGCACACTCTGAACCGCGAATCAATGCACACTGGCGAGCAGATACCCGCCATATCGCTGGCCTACGAGGGACCCGAGGCGGACATCATGAAGCGCCGACCGCGCAACCCAGAGATCGACAACCTGGTCAATGAGAGGTAATTCCGTTGCAGTTGCAGCAGCTCGTGACCGATCATCGCCAGTGCCAGTGCCAGTGCTAGGCTATCCGAGTAGTTTAAGTGCTCTGTCCCATGTCCCAACTCTAGGCCAAGCCCAGAACTGAATTTCAAAATTATGTAAACCGTTGCTAATGTACCTACCTGCCATAATCCAATACTTAGGTGCCAGCCATTTCATTGGCCTACGAACATGCCGAAGCCGATATTATGAAGCGTCCGCCACGTGACCCCTTCAACGATAAATTAGTGAACTCAAGGTGCCAATCAAGTCAATTTCTACCCCACACTAATACACACACCACACACACTCACCACTCACCCACCGCCAACCTAATCTCAACCACTAAAGCGACAAAAGTCTGAACTAAAGAAAAAGCGCAAAGCAAGAGAAACCCATATAAATATAACATATGTCTTATGTGTATGTGGCTGGATTGTAATTAGCATAAGTTGGCCTAAACGAGAAGCGCGCAAACAACTAACAAAAAGCCGTTGACCCGTTTATGGTTTACTAAACAACCCAACTAACTCTTAAGAATGTCATCACCACCCACCAGCTTTCCTCTCCGATCTCTCATCTCTCTGTAGCATATTTTCCCATTACTGGTGGCAGATATCGATCATGCATTCATCTGTACATTTCGAGTACTTCCCCCCATACCCCACCAGTCTTAAAGCCCCATGTATACACACACATCCAACTGCTCCTACTTACTCCATGCACAATTCAATCAATATTCCAAACGAATACCGCCGAACTCATTTGCCATCTTCTGAACGCTCTAAATGTTAATTGGTGTGCGTCGTATTTCGTTATTATCTCACAAAATACAAAACAAAAACCAAAATTAAAAAAATCTAAAAAGTCAGAAAACATACAATGTATCGATCACCATTTTCGTTTTGTGGTGTAACTAACACTGAGTTAACCGTAAGATTCACCACTCGACGTTATTTGAATTAGACAATTGATTGGCATTTGCAATGGATTTTAAGTTCGTAAGATTTGGCAAAACTTTAATATCAAAATTACCAATTGCACACGATTCGTAGCAACTAACCAACCCAACCAAAAGTATTTGATTTTTCATGATTTCATGATTTAACTCGAGACTTATCATTGCCTTATGTTTAACTCTGTTCGTCACCCCACCACATCCTTCAAGCATTGATTATTGTCCTTTAAGTCTCTGCAGCAGCAGCCTAAGGTAGATCTAAGGGGCGGGCTCTCTAGACTATATAGAATTTATCTTATAAGACATGCAAACCCCTACCTTTGCGAAGCAATGGTCGTTCCCTCAGCTCAGCAACGGATTTTCAGAGTTTTTGTGAGATTTTGAAGCAAGCATAAGCAGGAGCGGACGAATGCGTTTATGTTTCCATAATTTATCGTATTTAATTTCATTTATTTTTTCCACTTCAACCAACTACCAACAACCGAAAAAACCAACCAACAAACGTTCGTTTGTACGGTTTAGGTGCCAGCCATTTCCTTAGCTTATGAGACGGCTGAATCCGATATTATGAAACGCCAGCCGAGGAATCCATTCCAAGATAAACTGGTCAACGAAAGGTAAATCTCTCTCTCTCTCTCTCTGATGGTCTACAATCAATTACAACAACTACTACCAGAACAACCAATCAAAAAACAACAGCAAGAACCGAGTCAATTCTTATATCGAAAAGTAAAAGACACATATCCGAACGCCTCTTCTGCAACTCTATGAACCACCAATAAACCTCTTTTTTGTCACGCAACTTAAAGCAAATTGAGTACCATTAACTTTGAATTCGAACTTTGGACGGCCAAAGATTTTAAAGCAAGCCAAAATCCAAAAAAAGAACGCTTTCTTTCTACCTACAAGTCGAAGAAATTAAAATCATTTTACTCCAATTTCTCTCTATATTATCCGCTATATCTCTGTCTTTCGATATACTAACTAAACTAGCTTAAGTATTCCTTGGTTGAATGTTGATTATTTGGATATAACTCCACCAGTGTTATTATTATTCATGTTTTATGTTCCATGTTTGATTTGGTAGCTTTTCGTTCAACTTCTGTTAAGTGTTTCCTCGTTTTACCTCAATATTCTTCTTCAGATTCTTCTAGTGATTCTTCTCTGATAATTACGTTCAAATAGTACAAAGTAAAGTTCAGTGCGTTTAGTTTAATATCAATATAACATTGTTCTCGATCAAGGGCGTCTCCTTAGAGGATTCGCCGCAACATTTTTTGTAAGCTATTCCCTAAGCACACTCACTGGGCTGGAAGAGGGTCCGGCGACTGTCAAATACAATGAATTCTCTATAAAGAAACCCCATTACAAACTATTATTATTTATGTATTTATTGATTTTAGTACCTTTGATTCAAATATGTATGGCATTTGATTGATTTCCGTTTGGTTTTTGCAATAATGCAATATATATCAAGTTATCTACGCTGATAAATGTATTACAATGTATTAACAACTACATATGCATAGCTACATCTTATTTATATAATCTCTATAGGTTTTTTGCAATCTCTTTCCAAGTACTTTTTTGATGATGGAGATAGGTGCCCCTCGGCCAACGTATCAGACATACAAATTTTGCACTTGATTAAATAGAAAGTTAACACTCGATTAGGAGTACATTTAAATCTATCCTCGTTGGTCATAAACTCTGTTATTTTTCCTCTATTTCTCTGCTTATATTTTGAAAACTTTCGCTCTCTTTTCCACCTTTTTCTACAATGCGACTTCTGCGCCTTAACCTTTTTTGTGGATCTCTGAACTTATGGTTTCTGATGATCTTATATTCTTTATTTGTATTCCTTGACATAACTTGGTTTATTTGAACTTATGTTCTACTGTAGAGCTTCTACAGATCTATGTTCTTTGTTTACTTTTGAAGATCTTTGTTTTTTGCGGTGCGAAGGTAAGTGACGACCATCTTGGCGATTCCCCGAAAGCTGAGGGAATTTCCTGTACATCTCTGAGCTCTTTTTCTGGGATAAATATAGAAGATTACTAAAATCCGACTCGGATCTCTTCCACATTAGTACTTAACTCTATGCTAGACCAAGCAGGCCTATTGTTAACTTAGTGAGTCTGTAAATTGTATCGAACATGTACGTTTCTACTTATGCTAACTATTATTATCGGTAGAAACCTTTCAATTTCGGCATCACTTCATTCACGACCCTCTTACTTCGAACTTAGACCTAACTCGACTCATTCAGCACATTCTCTCAATCAGTCAGCCAGTCAGCCCAGAGTTTGCTCCAATCAGTCATTCATGAACGGTCTCCTTTTGAGTTGTAGTCAACCGACACTCACACCAACCCCCCGAAACGAATCAGAAGCACACGAAAATTGTCCCCTAGTTTTAATAACGATAATTTTAAATCAACTAAGCGCAAATTAAGCTCTGAAAACATTCACATAAAACCCACAACTACTACAACCGCCCATCCAACTACCCACCTGCTCTTTACTATATATATGTAGCGACTCTACTGTTACTGGGTGCTCCATGCTCTATGCTCTTCTGCCCTAGCCTTAACTAGTCTTAGCTTCGTAAGTACGCGGGAGCTAAGATACATTCAACATGCCTCATGGAGGGGCACTGCCCCCCACCCGAAACCCTACCCAAACTACTCTGTCTATCTGTTACGAACTACTAGTGAATATTAATTAGCGTATAAAGAACAAGTATTTATTATTCGCCCGCAAGCATATTTATAAAACTCTTTTATACAAATATTATTACATATATATTTGTAAACTTTAATCAGATTTTCCTTTTGTATTTCCCTACATTCTTTCAACTCTTGTTATGTCTTTCTTTTGATTATCAAACAAACCAACTAACAAACTTGCAACTTGCACAAATACCGATATAACCATTATAATTGCCATAAAACGCAAGATTCCGGCCATTTCACTCGCTTACGAGCAAGCCGAGAGCGATATTATGAAGCGTCAGCCGAGAGATCCGTATCGCGACAACTTGGTGAACCGCAGGTCAGGAAAAACTTAAAAATAAGGCTTTACAAAAAAAAAAAAAAAAAAAAAAAAATCCAATATCCAAGTGTTAACCATCTTTTAGTTGATTAGTTGAGAACTAGAAAATGAACAAACATGCAACCATCTTTTACTTTTGTCAAATTTTGAACTTTGTTTGATGTGTTGTGGTCGCGCGTTTCTTGCATCGTAATTTGGCCAACAATCAGGCAATAGATCAATCGATTCCCAATCAGTCTATCAACCAATCAACCGAATGCTAAATTCCAAATTTCGCCCAGAAACTTTTGCGACTGTTTGTTCGTTTGCTGATGCGTTTCTGCGTTTTTCTTTGTTTTAAATCCAACTTCACACATTTGAAAATCGAAAAAAAAAAACCAATAAATTAAACCAAACTGTTTTATCTACTGTTTTGTGTTTCACATAGTTTCCTTTCTCTCCTGTTTCTATGTGACCTGTCTTTCCTTCCTTATGATTTCCGTTTCCGTTATGAGACTCTTAATGTGGAATGAAATTACTTTACCATAGATATTTCGAAAACAAAAAATCTAATGAAATTTACCTATTGAAACCACCTACTGTTACATTTATATACTTTCCAAAACCCAAATTCTTTAATTTACATTTGATTTTGAGATGGATAACCCCCTCTATGTATCTCCCACTTAACTCCCTAACTTTAAGTGTTACAAACATTTGTGTTGTGTTCCTCGCACAACATTCTGTGATCCGTACACAGATTTATCGTGTGTGTGTGTCTCATACATTTATTCGGGAACAAGATTCCACTTAAAAAGTGTCTGTTGTTCAAACAGTAGTAGTGCCTCAAAAAATACAAAGCAAAAACCAAATGCTGCTTCTAGAGAACTTGGCAAAGTTAGTTCAAAGAAAAACGCTCGCTCCAACGCTCGCCTGCATAAAATACAAAATACAAAATACACTCGAAAAAAAACACACACACCACTCACACAACAAACAAACAGAGACAAGCAAAAGACCGACTCAAAACACAACATCGAAGCTTCTGCGTTACTCTTAGACCAGTTAGTGCGTTACTTGTAGATGAGTTTGTTCGAGCCAACGACAAAACGAAAATCGCTTCAGTTGTGTTCTAGATACACCACATGATCGTTATATACATTCAGACTCTGACCACCAATGTGGTGCCCTGTGCCAAGTCGCGGTAAGTCTGATTTCAAGGGGGAGATGGTTCCGTTCTGAAAGTACGTCCGTAGGTCAACGACGTGACTACAATGGCAACGCGGAGTTTGGTTATCATTTTTGTGTGTGCAATGCTCTTGCGTGTTTATCTCTCTCTTAAGTTTGTGTTTAAGTGTAAGTTTATTTAATTGCGTTTATGTTTTATGTTGATTTTAATCGAAACCTCGTTAAACGTAAGTAAACGAAAAGGTTGTAGAGCTGCATTCGCCTATCCTAGCTGCAGTAGATGTAAATAGCACGCTTTAATGTCTTCTTGGGTACTGTATATGTGTATGTATGTCCCGTATTTAGCCGCATGTTTAACTAGCATTAACAATGACTTTGCTTTTCACATCCACATCCAAGCAAAAAAGAAACTATATAAGAAAGCCAAACAGTTCAAACTGCAAACTATTCTGCGCCCTCACGCTTCTTGAGCAGTATAAATAGTACGATTTGCTTTTGCGCGCTCTTAATGCAAACGAAAAACTAAATGAAACTCAGATTCAAATGAGATTCGATCAGACACAATCCACGCTGTATAAAGTAAAGTCTAACACCATTAAATCTAAACGATAAACATTCATTGCTTAAACAATCCATAAATGAGCTTCAAGGTAAAGTGGCACTAACAATCTAACTGACTAACCCCGAGTACGAATTGGTACTTGGATCGAGGACTGGACACGATGACAGCGGTCCTTGGGCAAGGTTTTTGTTGCTCCCTAAGTGTTTTGTGTTTGTGTTCCTCTCCTACCCTCTATTCTTTCTGTTTGTGAAAACTTTCACCGCTTATTTTCAAGCATTTGTTGTTGATCTTCCTGAAATTTTCACCTTTGATGTTCGATGAAAAACAAAAACCTTGGCCAAGCCACCGCGCATGCTCCCTGTCCGATGCCCGAAAACTTTGCCGCTAGCCACACCGTAACGAGAAGTGTCTTGCGTCCCGAAAACAAACGAAACCCCACACAATTAAAAAAAAGAATAATGAAAATACCTTAGCATACCCTTGAGAGTTGTCTAACGTGCTTTATCTATTTCTCCCCACCTCCACCTTGACCCGCCACCTTGCCCCTTGACTAATCTAGGTTGATTTCGATGGCCTACGGACAGATCGGTATGATCCAAGCTGCCGCCGGCTTCTTTGTGTACTTCGTCATCATGGCTGAGAACGGCTTCTTGCCCAAGAAACTGTTTGGCATTCGTAAGATGTGGGACTCGAAGGCCGTCAACGATCTAACTGACTCCTATGGACAGGAATGGGTAAGTCTTCGAGCTCGGCGGATGTATTTTGTTAACTTCAGCGCTCATTTCATGTCATATCTTCACTAATAGACCTACCGCGACCGCAAGACCCTGGAGTACACCTGCCACACGGCCTTCTTCATCTCGATTGTGGTTGTGCAGTGGGCTGATTTGATTATCTGCAAGACGCGCCGAAACTCCATCTTCCAGCAGGGCATGCGCAACTGGGCTTTGAACTTTGGCCTCATCTTCGAAACCGTGCTGGCCGCGTTCCTCTCGTACTGCCCGGGCATGGAGAAGGGTCTGCGCATGTACCCCCTGAAGTGAGTGGTCCCCCTGAAGGTCCTTTCTCGATGGCGATCTAATCCCTGTGCTTTTCCCTCTCGACAGACTCGTCTGGTGGTTCCCGGCTATTCCATTCGCGCTGGCCATCTTCATCTATGACGAGACCCGTCGTTTCTACTTGCGCCGCAACCCCGGTGGCTGGTTGGAGCAGGAGACATACTATTAAACACCCACACTGCTACACTCCCACAAACACACACATGCCCACACAGACACACACAAACACCTAAAGAAAAACAACCATGAAGAGCAACAAATAGTAATGTTTATGAACCACAAACTCCACACAACCACAGTAATAGCAGCAGCCGCAGCAGCAACGGCAACAACAACAGCTACAGCTACCGATAGCTACAGCAAGAACATATTACAATATATTTTATTTTTTTAATTTAATTAATTATTTAAAGTAAACGAGGAGAAACAAAATGCAAGCGATAATTATTTTAAACGTTTAAGTAAATTTAAATTATAAATTAAAGCTACAACTAAGATTTAAATAAAGTATAAAATGAAAACAAAACAAAGGCGAACAAACAATTTCGAAGCAACAACACCAATCACAACCAGAACAAGAACAACCAGTAACTAAGCAACAACACAATGTTTTTAGTAAAATTATTAACGTAACGAGAACTGGCTAAACAGAATATTTAAGCAGAAGCTTATCGAAACAATAAACCCCTGCCTTCGGGGCATCCCCCAAGGCATTCACACACACCCAAACACTCACACTCGCACAGACACACTCACAAACACACACCACACACCGATACACAACGCATGACGAGACAAAGTATGTAAGAAGTTTAGAGAAATTATAAAACGAAGTGAATAAAGAAGGAAATACGGAAAGAAAACAATGAAAACCCTTAGCGTAGTTACCAAATAAGCCGTGAAGAGTAAAGCCCCAATAAAAACCACAAAAACAAACAACAACAAATAAACATAAATTAATTTGCAAAACTTGTGTGTGTAAAACGCAGCTTAACGGATGAAGAGCGAGAGCGAGAGCGAAAGCGAGAAGGGGAAGAAAAGAGCAAAACGAAGTATATATAAACAGAAAAACCACAAGAAACAAGGAATATAATTGTTTATATATATATACACACATATATTATATGGAAAAAATTTGATTACATAAATGGAGCTATACAATACACCAAAAAACCAAAATTTAAACCATAACGAAATCGATCTGCGATCCGTTGAGCCCGACTGGGCCAACAGCCGGAAACGGAAGCGGGAACGGAACGGAAGCAAGGCTCTGATCGATATTCAGAGGCCCCGTGTTCGGCAAAACTGGCGAAGAATCTGCAAAGAATTTGTTAAAATCTAAAGAAACCAACTAAATGTTTATATAACTAAACCCTTTAAACCAATTGACATGCAATATTATGCTTTGTGTGCATTTAAGCCCAAGACAGATGCAGCGATGCGGCGGGGCTATGTCCCCCCGTTATCGATATCGATACTGTTACCGATACCTAAGCCCAGAACGAATGAAAACAAAAACAAAAACGCCCACAAAATAAATGTTTGTAAGTTTTACACGGCACAGCGCCCCAAAATGGGGCAAGCCCAAGGCAGTATTGTGTTTACTTTTCTTTTGATTGTTTTTATCGCTTTCCCCGCCCACACACCCCCAACAACACACAGACTCACACAACACAGCACACTCGCTCGCGCAGAGACAGTAACGAACGGTTGAGCGGTCAGATTGTTGGCCACGAAATTGATATTGAAAAGCTCGGCATTGTCGCTATCGAATGCGTGGGCCTGACAATGCGCCCGCTGGCTAATTGAAAACTGTGAAAACTTATCGGGAGGCGGCGATATTCGGTCCCGGACCCCCGATAAGTCCGGCTCGACGGCGGTCACACCCACGCAGAGAGATACGCCCGGACATGCCCCGAGCTCGGTTCTAGAATTCTAGAACTCGCTGCTGTTTTTGTTTTCCAACTGTCTTGTTTTCTAACTTAGTGAAGATGATCATTAGCATTGAAGATAACGATAATTATGGCATGTTAGTTATGAAAGAAAATGAAAAAAAAAACTAAACAAAATTATTATTATTAGTTGTTAACAAATTATATTGAGTAATTAATAATATTGATCGGTGGATGCTGATGTGACGGAGATGAAAATGAAAGAAACTAAACTAAAACGAGAACGAAGCAAAAGAAAAACCAAACGAGAACAACAAAAAATGATAAATAATGCATAATACGGACTACAAATATTTATAAACAAATGCAGAAATTATATAAACGTTTGATGGTAAAAGCAAGAACTTGAAACAAAAACAACAACCAATTTGTCGAAACAACACGCAGAAGTAAAAATTTGCATGTAACAACAAAACAATGAGTAAACATTTTTAATTTTTTGTTCTTTCGCCCTCCGCTGTAAATGTATTTGTAGATTTAAACAATGATTAAAATAAAAAACTACATAAATAAAACTTAAAAAAAAAACATCTAACTGTATTTTTATTGAACTAAAATCTATATAAATTTATGAATTTTTAAAGGGGACACGGAGACTGCACAAAATGAGCCTAAGCTAATCAAATTGCAATATTTTGAATATTCAATTCGACAAATTTAGATGTTGATAGTCCGAACATGTCCCACCATTTCATCTGCCTATTAATTCATTGTCTCCATTCAAAGGAAAAATCGCGACATTTTTATGCCTGCACACAAAACTGGAAACGAGGCTATAAACATAAATATATTGCTCATACGCCCCATGTGCACCCCTGCCGAATGAGTTCATGCCCGTAACGAATACAAATAGAAAAGGCGCTCTCAAAAAAAAAAAAAAAGAAGAAGAAATGGGAGCCAAATACAAAGACAGGAAAAGGTTGCCAACACACACTCACACACCTCAGTGTGCGGGTGTGTGGGAACGACAATACTTGTTCGTGTGTACGTATTTACGACTGTATTTACAGCAATGGCATGCAGCGTGTGCTTCTTGTTCACCGTTGCCGCTGGTTATGATGTTGCCGTTGCTATTGTCGCAGCAGGTCCCAGGGGCAGGGACTGGCAGGGAGGTCGCCGCTGCGACAGCGGCAACATTTGGGTCTTATTAATTTCCGTTTTGCTTATTTATTTTTACGACAGCTCGCAGTTCGCAGTTCGCGGCCCGTCGGGGTCCCGTCCTCAACGCGTACGCAGACGCCAGAGCCAGTGCTAACGCAGAAGGAACACTTGTTTGGGGCTCTACCTTTGATGGCACAGCCATGCCCTGAAATTTGGCAAGCTAGCATATAAATCCTAATCAGGATACGTTCAAATAGTTTGTCATTTTATTGAAAAATGATAGAGAAACCTTGCATTTGTCGAATTTAGAAGAGGAAAAATTGAGTTGCAGTTATTCTTAAATCATTTAAAACACAATGACATTAAACAGTATTCTTATTTTGACTTTATTTGAGCTAACAAATTTTTAAATAATACTTATTTATATTTTATTATATATGTTATTACGTAGAACCTAAATTGTACTATTTAGAATACGTACGTGAACTATTTATAAATAAAAATGTTTTGACAAAGTTTTAAGCAATTGTAGAAGTGTAAAAAATCTTTAAAGCGAAAGCAATCGTAATAAAGTAACTTTGAGAACAAGTGCTAAACACAAAGTAATAAAATAATTATAATTAAATAATATAATTTGTTTATTTAACTTGTGGGCCAAGTCATAATTGTGTATTATATATTAGGTTTGACTTGTTTATTATGTTTTTTTACTGGATAAAATAAAAATCATTCTACTGTATTTTTGAACTTTATTATATATTTTATTTTGGCATTGCCTTTTAAAATGTATTAAATTTATTTTTAAGTACAGCTAAACACTGAGATAAAAAATATTATAATAGCTATGGAATTAATTTAACTTTGATAGAAGACCTTAACATTTAATAGCCATTTTAGCGTAGAATTTAAGACAAGTTTCAGAGCTCTTATATTATTTAGTTATAAATAATAGTGTCCAGTTATAAGTATATTTTTTTTACGCTTCATACTTTATCATGGGTAAGAACATTAACTTAATTTCCATATATTTTTAAAACTTTAACAAATCATTTTATGAACTGAAATAAAAATAAATCATTGAATTTTTTCTGTCAAAAAATAATGTATAAATTTAAATTAGATTGATTTCAAATAATATAACTAGTTTTGTTTTAAGTCTGAGCTGCGGTCACTTGTCACACTTTGTGGATATACCTTTAACCCGAGGCAGAGTATAGTGAAGACTCAGCAGCAACTTTTTTTTTCCAACCGACTTAACACGGGCGTCAAAAACTTACGCGCTTGCTTGTCTAAGACAGCGGGGGCTGGCGGCGGTGGCAGTCGGAATTGTGGGGTGGCTCCAGCCCACCCGTCGTCGAAATGCGCCGCTGAGACTGCACCGACAGAGAGAGGAGCCGTAAGGGATTCGGGAAGAGCGAAGCGGGAGAAAGCTCTTGCGAGTGCGGCGCAGTTGTTATCGCCTGGCCAGGTGTTCCATTGCCATTCCGTTCCTTATCCTGTGCACTCGGCTTCGCCTTATCTAGCGACTCGTGTGCTTGTCGTCCGCCCTTCGGTTGGGCTCGGCGCTTTTGGGAGGCATTCGGGCAGTGTGGCAGTCGGTTAGTGGCTCGCTGGTCGGCGGCATTAGTCTTTCATTACCCGGCGTGCGAGCGTGTAGCGTTTCTCCCGTGATTTCCACACGCAGCAGCAGCGGCGAAAGCAACCACAACAACCACACCAAAAACAGCAACAATAACAACATCCCCAACAACAACAACAACAATAGCAATACAAATAGAAGAGAACCAGCGGCAAACGGTTTTTGCTGCGCTTCTCCTATTTTAAGTGCCGAGCGTTTTACTATTTTTACTACTCAGCGATACACACGAACACACACCGCTGTGTGTTTGTTGCCGTGCGTTGAGCTATAACAACAATAACAGCCGAAAAACCGAGGACTACAACAACAAGAACGAACGAAACAGTGTAAAAATGCTACATAGTGAAACGATCTTCCATAAATATGTAAATACCGAAATATATTCGAGGACATAATTGGCTAGAGAAATCTGTGTTTTTCGAGTGCAAAATGCAAGGAAACTGCAGGGAGAACAAAAACAACCGCAGCCATGTTGGAGAGCCGAAACTAGGCTAAATATCTTTGCATACTTTTGGGAAAGTTGTGCACACACACACACACACACTCAGAGACGCAGAGGACAGACACACAGACACAGATACAGCGGCAGGACCTGCGCCTGCGGTCGCCGACATTTGAACCTGCTTTCTGACCGTTGACCGCCGGCCGCCTCTTTTCACTTTTGGCAACGCGAAGATGAAAATGTGCACCAAAGTGGCTAAAGAGCTGAAAAAGGCATAAGAAGCAGCCGCAACCACACACACAGACACACATACAGCAAATAGAGGAGGAGCCGCAGAGAAGGGCAAAAGCGAAAGGAACGGGTTCGCAGAACTGCAGTTCAACAGCCTCCGGGTCCGTGGCAAGCTCAACTGCAAATTCGGCCAACACAGCAGTGCATCTGTGTCTGTATCCGTGCGCCCCTGCATCTGTGTCCGTATCCGCATCTGTATCTGGTGACTCGGTGTGCGTGTATCTGCAGCTGCAGCTCTGCAGCGAACGGAGGAGGGAGAACGGCGAAAATTGTGTCAGCAGCATCGGCAGTGAGCCGTTCTGCAGCTCGTCAGACTGGCGCCTCCATCTCCGCTTCGGATTGCCGGTAACGTATGAGTGATATTTGCATTAGCAGCACGTTTCCCTGCTTGGCTTATGTTCGGCCATTACGCATACGACCCGTGTGGCGGCCTGAACATTACGCATACGCAGGGCGGTCTTACCTTGACAACGGGCAGATACCAGGGCGGTTCGTGGGCGGCGGGCTGTCCGTGACAATTGTCAGTTTGTTTTTCCGTATCGTTTCCTTTCGCTTCGCTATCGATTAAGCCCGCCGCGGCCTCTCGCCTTCGCCTTCGCCCATTGTCCGCGAATTAGCGACAACTTCTGGGCCATGCTGCATATGGCTTTGTCCGTCGTCTTTTGTCTAACGCCTAATTGAGTCTTTTGTGCGGCTCAAAAGACAAGCAGCAGCGTTGCAGAGAAAGAACAAAAAGAAAATAACCGCGGAAGACAGCTGACTTCGGGGAGGCTGAAGTTTAGATTCACTTGCTGATCTGCAAAGTGTAAATTTTTCACATCTATAACATCAAGCCCCCCCTTGTTGTTGTTTCTAGAAACAAAAAAGTTTAAAATTTTCTATAAAAAAAGTCAAATTTCACAATTAAAGTTCCAGCTATTATTGATACATATGTATATCCTTGACTAAATTGCGAATTTCTGTTGAAATTTGTCCTACCTTCCGCAAGGGTATGAACACAGAAACACAAAACAAAAAACCAAAAACAATGAGCGCGGAGGCGGGTAAACAAATGGAAAGCGGAGCACTCGCGACTCCTTCAGAAGTCAGCCACTTGAGTTTTTCCTTCACGTTTTATTCCTATTATAGGACGTCGGGCAGTGGGCGATGGGTGGTGGGTGGTGGGTGCTGGCATTTTTCTTTGTCAATATCAGTCAAACTGTTCGTTTCACTCGCCTGACATTTGCTTACCATTCGCTTTCGGTTTAGAGGGTTCACTTTGTGTTCCTTTGTACAAATAAATACCCATTCATTCATTCATGCGCTCATTTATGGGACTCCTTTCACTTCTGATTGAATAAAAGGGTCGTCGTTGTCGTTCTCGGTGTCCCAAAAGTATTTGTCAATTGGACGCAACTGCAGGATTCTCAGAAATTTGAATGGAATCGGGTCCGAGATCATATCTTATCAATCTAAATGGCGGCAATTAACTAGCTAATCAATCAATCAAGTAGGCATCAGCATGACTCGGAGCACTTGTGATAAGAGGCGCCTACCTCTGGCGATTTTAAATTGAGTATTCAGCTCACTCGCCTGTCGAGCGGAAGGTGGACTACAGAAGGGGTAGGAAAATTAACTCAATTTATGTGCCTTGCAATTAAAAGCAAGAAACCACTGCAGAACCGCAGCAGAGCTCGCAGGTGGAAACGCAGCGCTTTAAAGGCTTAGAGCAAAGTGGCAGGCACTCAAAGGCTTATGACTTCCTCATGCATACGTGTACCTGCCGCAAACAGTGGCAAAATACAAACTTTCTCTTTTTTTTTTTTTTTGAAAAGACCAACTTTTCTAACTAACAGGAGAAAAAATAAACCGCACACATGTGTACACAAAAGAAACCAGAAGAAGGAAACTGCAAATAACAAGATTTGGTCATGTTTGATTCATGAAACTGCCAGGAACCACCACTCCTCACCCTCATCCCCTCGCTCTCTCACATCCCCTCATGCAATTCAACAACAATGGGGGAGTAAACACGGGCAAAGCTACAGTTGCAATGGCCATGGCAGCTGAAAGCCGGAGTTTCGCACAATGGCGCAGAATCAGCTTCGCCAAATGCAGTTCTTCCCGAAAAAAATCCACAAAAATATCCTTTTGAGTGTAAACTTTATGCAGGGTTTCGCTGCAGAGTTAATCATACGCCTGACGGTGAAAAATTGAAAAAAAAAACCCATACGGCTAGTAAAAAGTGCAGAGTCCGCTTTGCTTTCCTCGCTTCTGCTGCTAAATTGAACGTGTATGTGGCTTCAAATCGCGCATACGCCCCGTAAACCGTGGAGCTGGGCAAATCTTCAGGCAATTTGATTAAGGCCAGCGAGCCATAAAGTATGTAGAGGAATGCTGAAATATAAGGCTTATTCCTAAGCCAGCCAAGTCGAGCGTAAAATGCAAGTAGCTTTCAGTTGTGGGAGAAAAAGGCTAAGGACACGCTTGCGCTTTCCCCTGGCTCGCTTTCCCATAAAACCCGAGCGGCAATTAAATTGTGACTGCGACGATGATGGCTGGAGCGGAGAATATATAAATTAAAAGAGATAAAAATTCCATAAAGATGACAAAAAAAGGAATCAGCCAGCGAAAAGGGAAAGAGGAGGCCAAGGCAGAGGCAATAAATAACGGGAAAGCAGCTGAAAAAGGCGTGGGGAAAACAGAATCGCAAGATGGCGGCGATGGCGATGGCGTTGACAAGCGAGCCTTAAGTCTGCTTTTGTGGCGAAACAAAAGACGCGCGAAAAGAACAAGATATTGGGATATCTAAATTACCGCTGTCACGCACCTAAGCACACACCACACACCGCGCACACACTCTCACAGCCTGCGCACGTACGTATAAATGTTGGTATTGTGTCAGCACGGAAACCAAAGTGAAAACCTTTCATTTCATTTTCCCCACTTTCCTTCCCCCGCCTTGTTCGATGGTCGAGTTCCATTGACTGTGCGAACAAAGGCTAAGGAAATGATAATTTTCCGCCCAACAGGCACAGAAACACACACATCACAGGCAAGCACACACACTCAGAGTCTGTGGATTCGCTTGTCGAAATAAATTGCAAAGAAGTGAAATTGAAACGCTTTCAATTAACTCTTCGCATTGACTCAAACTTAATCTCTGTCACATTAGCTGGAATTCGCATCCTCATTTTAATTAAGTACAAGTGACGCGTGTCTGAAATATTCATCAAGGGCCCGGGCAGCAAAAGGCATAATCGGTTGCCTCCAGGTGAATTATTCAAAAGTGTTTGGGGAAGTATGTGACTCTGGAATACAGGCCAGATAGCACACACACATGCCAAGTTGCGCATCTTCATCTGGTCCCGTTCGAACTTAATTTCCATTTCAATTTTCCGTATACACTGAGGCCCATTTTCCCCGCTCCAATCCCGCCCATTGCCTTGCCCCCTGACCCTCTTAGTTTCGGGCCAAAAGTACTAATATGTATACAGAGAAAGAAACAATAGTTTTTGGTTAGGGTCCGCTTCGTTTTCAATTATAAATGGATTACTTTGATGTTGCCATTAAAATTTAATTACTTTGTAAATAATTATATCTTATGCCAGAAGTAAACAAGTAAAAATGCTACAGAGGGGTGTACTAAACACCTGTGTTCCAGAATACATTTAATTATTTTCTTCACTATTATTCATTTCATGTATAATTTCATTTATTTATTTACTCATTGATTTCTCTCAGTATGCCTCATAGTGAGCTAAGGGGCGCCATTCTGGCTCTGTTTGCCGCCTCTAATGGATTTTCAAGGCGGAGCATAACAATTTGTTTGTGGGCCGAAACTGTTGCTCCGGCCGGAAAGCCAGCCATGGCGATTATTACGATGATAACGACGAGGATGATGATGGTGCCGATGGGATAATGTGATTTCTCGCAGCGATTTTTAGCCCAGCTGCAGCATCGCAGCCGTTTTCATGCCAAGGCAAGCATACAAATTACATGACACAATGGCAAACGCTGTACAGTCTTTATCGGCTATGGGGGAAATGGGCCATTCGCAGCCACAAATCACACAGGCAGCAGCAGCTGGAGGGCGAGAAAAAAAGAAACTGAAATCACTTGCCAAAATGTTTGCTTTGCTGATTGGCCACGACTTAATCAAGCTCTGCGTCAGCATTTTCATTCATTGAAAGATTGATTGATGCACTGACTGATTGCTGCTTTTTGCTGCCCCTGGGCAAACATCTGGTCAATCCATCAGCCGTCACCAGGAGCGCTGGAACCTGCCGCTGACACACGGCAAATTGTCGAGTCCAGTCGCAACTCTTTGGCAAACACAACTGGCATTCTTGTTTCAGTTAAACTTTTCCCAGGGCGGCAGGGGCAGCGGCCACAGCGCAAGTTGTCCAAGTTGGCTAGCAAATAGTTTGGGCCACACGACCCACTTGATATGGCAATGGCGGCAACTTTAACAACGCTATCTAAACCAACTTTGGCATGTCGGGACCTCGACTCCTCCGCATTCGGGCTAGGGCTTGGAGCACGGAGCACGGAGCGAGAGCTGGGCTGTGGTTGGGGGCTGGAAAATCAATAGCAGCCTTGCGACATACACACGCATATATTTATGCGGCACGCAGCTGCTGCCCCCAACTCTATTTGCTACCCCACTTGGCATTTTCCATTTCCCAACTCCATCTGCTTTCGCTCCAGCGTCAGTCCGTAAATCATGGCTAGCATGTGATAATATCGGGCCCGAAAACTCGACTATTTGACACTGTTAACGAGCTCGTTGTTTATTTATTGAAAGTGTGCTTTCATCTCGCAAAATGATAATGTAAAGGAGAAAGATGATGTAGTAAGTTCTAGTTAGTTATGGCTTACCCCCTACTCACATTTCTACCAACTTTAGGGCGTGGAAATTGTTTAGAGAGCATTGTTAATTATTATTTATTATAGCGTTTTGTCTGTGACTCGCTGTTGTGGAAGAGATATGACTGTTTGTATTTGCTTGACAACAGGCATTAACTTTGTGTGTGTTCTTTTTTTTTTTGCGACAATGGAAGCCCTACAAGAAAATACTATTAGTCAAGGCGAGGACGTGACTAATGTAGATCCTGCTGAATCCCTAATGACCTCTGCTCCGTGCGTTGCATCCCCAGCTGAGTGCCGATATATACTAGTGGCATACCCTGGACGATGGCATTCTCTCCGGCATTCTGACATTTAAAGTTCATGCGATTTGAAATCAAATCAATGTCAATGCCAGCCATTGCTGATGGCAGCTCGCGATGCGATGCGTTGGCGCTGGCGATGCCTGGCCTTGATTGCATCGCCTGATTGCCATTGCCCAGCCAGTGATGCGTAGC